ACTGCAATGGTTTCAATATATTTTGCAGGATTTCCATGTCAACTTGCCTCAGCCTGCTGCAGTTTTCTGTGATTCCAAGGCTTCCATTTACTTAGCTCACAATACAACGTTTCATGAATGCAGTAAACATATCGAAATAGATTGTCATGTTATTCGAGAAAAGATTCAGTCTAAACTTCTTCATTTGTTGCCAATTTCCACATCTTCTCAATTGGCAGATATGTTCACAAAGCCTCTCCATTTTCCTACTTTGTCTGCTATATTGGACAAGTTAGGACTCAGCAGCATACACAGTCCAACTTGAGGGGGGATATTAGCATATGTATATTATTTTAGATGTGTTTAGATGGATAGAATAGTGAGCCACGTGTCCTTTTTTTATTAGTCTGTTTAGATACCTTGTAAATATATAAGACCTTTGTATGGATCTCTTTTAATCAATTAATCAATGAATGATATTTTTAATATTCTTCTGCATTACTATTCCATTCTGTTATGCTGTAACTGATTAAGTTACAACTTCTTCTTCTTCCTCCTTGCTTGTGTTCTTGGAGTGAACTATCATATTTTATTTCTTCAATGTTGATAATATGTGTATGTTGATTTCCTTTCTTAAAAAAGCAAGAAACTAAAAACATTTATATTGTGAGTGAGAGATATACAATTGTTTCATGTATTACTTAAACACCCATGAACCACCTTCAAGACTTAATTCTTCTCTTCCCAAGTTTCTAAAGTAAAATCAAAACCTCCAAAACTTATTTTATTTGTTTTAATTTTGAAATTTATAAAGTAAAAATTATTTTTAAAAATTATTTTATAAAATTAGATAACCAAATAATTTTAATTATTTTAAAATTAAAATTTTGGTCACCATTTTTTTGTAAAATACTTGATTTAAATTCCCCTATTTTTATATTTACTTTTTTGATATATCTATTTATTTAATTTTATTAAAAAAATTGTAAACCACAAAATAGATAGATTAAAAGGAAAGATACAAAAAGAGCAAGGGGACCAAACATTAAGCCTCAAGATTAATGAAAAAGTTAATTTAGGAGCCCTATTCTATTACAAATAAAGTCTTCTCTAAGAATTGTGGAGAGATGATCCCACTTGATATTCTCCTAAGAAAATAAGTCAAAATTAACAAATTTATCTACACACTAGTTACCTTTATAAAAGATATAAGTGATAGAGAAATACATACAAACTAAAGTAATTTGATTAGAATTACATCCTAATTTCTCCCACCAGTTTACCATCTAGAGCATAACCAATGTTTATATCAACCGCAAAACTACCCAGATAATTACATGTTTATTTATAAAGATTTTTATATTTTTAGCATGATTTGGATTGCTAAGAATAGTGTCATCGTATTCCACTTGATAGAATGGATGAAAGAAAGATAAGAAATGACTTTTATGAATCTTATATTTTGATCTCTCCATTTAAAAATCCAGTTTATGGATTCCTTAGTTTTACTTTTTTTCTTATGAGTTTTGTATCTACAATATTTTATGTTCATGTTTGTTGACATGACACTATCTAGAAATAATGATTTTATTATCCATAATCATAGATTATAGGAAATTTTGCAATCTTTCTATTATTACATTCAGGATAATATATATATAGAAAATATATTATATATAGTATTAATTTGTATTAATACAACAAGTGAGTAATATATATATATATATATATATATATATATATATATATATATATATATATATATATATATATATATATATATATATATATATATAAAAGTGTGTGTGTTCAGAATTAAATATATTGTGACACATGATATTAACTTAATTCACAAAGAAAGAGTCGTCACCGCACTTGATTGTTTTTAAAGGAATTGAAAAAGAGCGAATACAACCTAAAAAAGTTTTTAAAGCAAAAATTAATAAAACAAAGAGAATAAGGTTCGGGGATTGGTTATGCAAAGGAAAAGTGTTAGCACCCTAAACATACATGATATTCCATGGAAATCTCTTGAAAATTTGCGTGTTTGGCTAAAATTGGTTGTTTGCAAAAATATTATAGAGATGAGAAAATAAATTGTTTTTATGATTTTTTATTCGCCAAAACCTCGAGAGTTCTTTGCTTGTGTATCTCCAATGTGCAATGAAGAAATCAAAACCATATAGTTCTACTAAAAAAGAACAAAGGTTTGTTTGTTGATTTATTTTAAATGAAGAGACATTTTGTCATCTTAAGAAGAAAACTCAACTAATCATCCATAAACATGAGAAAGACGGACCTTTGTATTACAATAAAAGAAGGGCTCTAACTTGGATAGAAATTAACAAGTATGTCACTAACTTTTTCAAGTGAAAAAGAATCAACATCATATCAATCAATATTATGTAGATAGGGGAATTACATCTCAACTATGGAGAGGACTCGTGTCTAATCTTTAAGAAAATATTTTAAAATGAGAAGTCAAAATGGAAAAAAAATTTGAATAAGTTTATGTGTGTTTTAAGTCTTTTGAAATTTTTTTAATAGGCTTAAGATTTCTTAGCAATTTATTTAAGAAAAGAAAATTGAAAATACACTTGCCAAAGTCAACTAATTGAACTAAGATGATCAACTAATCCACACTTAATTGATCAATTGATCACTTAGAGGTAGATTTGAAAAAAAAGAATAAAGAGATGAAGATAGATGAGGACAAAAAGAAATCTCAAATTAGATCAAAGCATCAATTAAGTTATCATCAAAATCAATTATTTGTTTTGATGGATTATGGTTTTTACCTCATCAACACCCAATGTAATACGGTGGAAGAACTGACTTTTAGGTTTACGTTTTATCGCAAATGTTGCAGATAGCAAGAGTCGCCATCGAGTTTTCTTTTATCCAATAAAGAAAAGGGTGAAAAGAACAGGAAAGACCTTTTGAGAATTTTCTGAGTAAGGGGGATAGCTTATGAAAAGGGAAGGTGTTAGCACCCTTTTCATCTGTAGTTATCTACGGACTCTTAATCGCTAGCTCACTTTAAAAATGCTTTTGTGTTTGTGTTTGAAAAATATTTTGAAAAAATGCCTAAGTGCGGCAAACTTTGTAATGATTCTCGTATCATTGAGAACACATACAAAGTGTTTGTCTCTGAAAATATTTTCGAATTCACTCTTCCCTTGATTTTCAATCCAATTTCTTGGCTCATTCTTCATCCTTGAACTTCACTGAAGCTAACAGAAGAAGAACCAAACATTGAGGTGTCCTAAATCGTGCTAGCCAATTCAAGTTTCAGAGCTCTGAAGTTGAGTTTCAACAGGTAGATTCTTCCATCAATTCTCTCCAAATTTGTTACTACAATATAGCTCTCGTCACTCTAATACTCATAGCATAGTTGGTTTTTAATTGGAAGTGAGTTTTACTCATGAATTTTCAAATCCATTTTCACTCTTTTTCTTTTGGTTTTTTGCAAATCATTTAAGTTGTGGTTAATATAAATTTTTCGCGAAGGCACCATTGGAATCTTCTTGAAGAGACGAACCGAATGACACCAGTCTGAGCTTCTAATTTTAAAGATTAAAGGACCTGTAATTCGCGTGTGGCGGGAGGTTGAAGACGATGGCATATCATCTCTCAACCAATGACATGATGCCACACTAGTTTTTTTAAAATCTGTTTTAAATTAATATTCCGGTGCTTTATTCACTAATAGCCATAACATGCACAACACACCAGATCCCTTGGATTTGATTACTAACGCGTTTAAACAATGATCAGATGGTCCACATTTTTTTAGTTTATTATTTTATTTTCTGATTTTTGTTTTAATAGTTTTAAACTTCAAAAATTCATAAAAAATTCATTTCAACTTCTAAAATTGTGAAAAAATTATCAAAATTATTTTTGATTTTTCTCCGTCTGATTTTTACTTTTTCAAAATTTTATTTTGTGATTTGATATTTTTTATAATTTATCACTTTATTTGATAAGATTTTGATTTGGCATTTCCTTTTCGTAATCCATTTTTGATAAATATTATAGTTATCTCGTAACCACTTTTTTTTAAATAAAAATAACATCAAATTCACATCAAAAACAAAATAACATAAAAAATAACAAAAGAGAAAACTATAAATTTTCTTTCTAAAATCCATATAGTCTTTTAAGTATTATTAATTTATAAAAAAAAACTCAATATAGCCCTTTTAAGTCTTATAAATTTATAAAATACTTTAAAACCTTAAATATGTTATATAATTCTTTAAAAAAATTTAAATCTAAATTTAATTTTTTGGATAGTAAATAGTATGATTTGACTTTTAATAATTTTAGTTATTGAATTTATTTGTCTTCTTTTCTTTCTAGACCATTGGTTATAATAAGCTTGATATGGTAAGTTATATGTTTGGTCTCCCTCTATATCCCTCTTGTTTATTTTCTCCTTTTTAAGTAATTTATTTTTGTTGGCTAAAATATTTTGCTTCTCTTGTCTTAGATTTTAACAGCCTAGGGTTAACAAATAAAAATTAAAAATATTAAAATATTCTCACTTAGAAATACATTATCTTTATAACATATTTCAAACAAACATAATATACATCACCGAAAATACAAGATACTAATTTAGACAAAGAACCTTTATTAACTTGACGAAACACCTTAACAACAATAACAATAAGAAACAAGTTAACAACACACTCAATCTATTCATTTTGCCAAACATTTCATATTGTTGGCTGAAATTCTCATGAGTTTGTTTAATTCATATTGGTCACATTTCTAAATTGGATGTAACTCATGAATTTCAACCCATAAAAATACAAAATGTTAGAGAATGAGTTGTTAACAATTATCATATCACAAACAACTTTTTAATATATATATATATATATATATATATATATATATATATATATATATATATATATATATATATATATATATATATATATATATATATATATATATATATATATATTTATTTATTTATTCAACAACCGCACATAATTTATTTTGAATCCTTAGACACATTCATATTCTGGAGGAACAATTCTTTGACAAGCTCTGAGGATCACGCTGAGGTTGATAGGTATATTCAAGTTCATTCCAAGAACATTCGTCTTAAGTGCGATACAAATACAAGATGCAGCTTCCAAATCGACCAAACCTTCTATTAGTGCACAACATTCCCCACCAAAAGGAGGATTTCCATAATTAACTATCCCTAAAAAACCAACACAATCCCTTAACTTTAAACTGTCTATAGGACATTCACCTGGATTTGGTAATGGTGGAGAACCATCAGCATCAGTGAATGTTGAATAAGAAAGAAGAGAAAACACTATAATTATGGAAGAAAACTTGTTGAAAGTCATGACTTATATTATAGTCTTCAAATTAAAAGTAATAATAATATATGTGTTTATTGAAGTTGAAAGTGTGAACCTTATTTATAAGCAAGAAAAAAGTGTGAGGTGGACGTTAGAAGTCTAAATTTAGTGAATAGGGATTAAATAGATTTATTTCTACCACATTATTTTTATTTTTTAATACTCTTTTATAGATAAAAATTGGTTGATAGATATATTTTAAAAATAGATTCTAAAATATAAAAAAATATAAAAAATAAATTATTATTTTTATAATATATTTTAATATCTCTTATTTTAATTTACATTATAAATTTTAAATTTTAAATGTGAAAATCGTGATTTTTTTCATTTTTTTATATTTCTAAACTAATTATATTTATATAGGCAGGAGGAATAATATAAAACTCAAATTTATATCAAATCCTTTCTATTTTACATTATATATATATATATATATATATATATATATATATATATATATATATATATATATATATATATATATATATATATATATATATATATATATATATATATATATATATATATATATTTTCAAAACCAACCGGCTCAATAAAAAATTGTAAAATTGAATTGAACCAAATCGAAACCGTAAAAAATTGTATTTAATTCAGATATGTTTGAGTCATTTTTTAACGGAATCGCACGGTTCAGTTTGGTTTGTAGTTTGTATTTTGCAAACCGAACCGAACCAAACCAAACCAAACCATATTATATTATAAAATTTTGCTAATTAATATATATTTTTTTAATTCTTTAGAGAAATCAATATGTATTATGTGTATATTTTATCCTATTCTTTGTATAATATTTATTTTAATTTACAAATTAAAAAAATAAAATAATATTCACTTATAAATATTATTTTCATAAAATATATTTTATCGTATTCTTTGTATAATATTTATTTAAGAATGCAATCTTATGTATATCATTATTTAGATTTAGATTAAATTATAATACACAATTTAATGTATTAAATTATAAACTTATTTTAATAATTATAAATTTTTTTATGGTAATATATGAACGATTAAATACAAAATTATATATTTTTTTATGTATATGTATGACACAATAATTTTTTTGTAAAATTTTTTACCAACCGAAACAATTCAAACCGCATTAATTTAATTTGGTTCGATTTTATTTTTAAAAATCAACCAAATCAAATTAAACTATCTATTTTTTCCTCCTATAATTCATATAATTTTTTATTTTAAAACGGTTTAAACCGCATCGTGAACACCCATACCATACACCATGTGAATATTTACTATACATGTCATAATTAGTTTTGTGAGTGTCAAATAAATGTGTGCCATATTATTATTTGAATGACTTATACTAAATACGTGCAACCATTCACTATGGAAACATTTTGCAAGCACAATTTTTTTACATGTGATACGCATAAATTTACAAATTTCTTTTTTACATTATTATTTTTTCTCAATTTCTTTGAAAAAAATAGTTTACCGTATATTTTATAGGGTCTCCGATACTGTATTAGTTTTTAATTCAAATAATACTTAATCTTATTAGTATTAATTTAAGATTATAAATATTTTTTTTTCTTCATGTCGTTAGATATTGTTAGTGCGTGAGACAATTTTAATGAAAAGAGAAAGAGAGAATAATAAAGGAAATAAAGGTTTATATTACTGAGTTGTTATAAATAATGATACTATTATATATCATTTTAATTGAATTTGGATTTACACAACTTGGATTATATTTAAATATTAAATCTAATCAAATCTAATCTAATATTTTAACAAATCTAATTTAATATTTCAACACACCCCATAATCTAAGTTGTGGAACATCCTCAAAAATAGTTAATCTGAATTATTCTTAATTTTTTTCTCAAATTCAAGAATCTGTCGATTTTCAATCCTTTAGTGAAAATTTCGGTCATCTATGCTTCACTTAAGCAATATCTAACTTCAAGTTCACCTCGATTTAACTTTTCCCTCAAGAAGTGAAACCTTGCTTCAATAAGTTTACTTCTTCCATGCAGAACTAGATACTTCACCAGATTTATGACTGACTTGTTATCGATTTGCAATACAAGAGGTTTCTTCAATTCGACCTTTATTTCTTCAAGTACAGACCTGATCCAAATTACATGACATGCAACATAGGATCCTGCTATATATTCAACTTCACAAGATGATAATGCCACCACGAGTTGTTTCTTCGAACACCATGAGATTGAGGCACCAAATACTTGAAAGAAATATCCAGTTGTGCTTCTTTGATCTTCCTTATCTCCACACCAATTAGCATCTAAAAAACAATTAACTATTGCTTCTTTGTCTTCATAATCTCGTCGAAATAGTATTTCACAGTTTATCGAACCCTTCAATCATCTCAGGATTCTTCTTGCAGCCTTCATATGTGACACTATTGGTTCACTCATATATTTGCTTACTAATCCTACAACGAAACTTATATCAGGTCGACTGTTACACACATACCTTAGAGATCCCACAATTTTCTTGAACAAAGTTACATCGACTTTGTCTTCCTCTATATTCTTCTCAAATTTTGCATTTGGTTCGACAGGTGCGGATGCAGGATTCGAATCATCCATTTTGAATCTCTTGAGTATTTCTTTGACATACTTCCTTTGATGTAGCACCATACCTTGCTTCGAGATTTGAAATTCCATACCTAGGAAATAAGACAAATTTCCCAGATCAGACATTTCAAATTCCTTCATCATCATCTCTTTGAACTTCGATAAGTTCTCCAAGTTATTTCCAGTCACTAGCAAGTCATCGACAAATAAGCAGATTATTGTTATATCTTGTGCTATAACCTAAACATATACACCATACTCAGATTTGAATTTGACAAATCCCAATTCGACTAAGTATAAGTCGATATTCTTGTTTCATGCCCTGGGTGTCTGCTTAAGGCCATAAAGTGCTTTGTGGAACTTATATACTTTACTCGCTTCCTTCTGAATCAAAAACCCTAGAGGTTGTGTGAAATAGACCTCTTTGTCTAAAGAACCATTCAGAAATGCTGATTTCACATCTAAATGAAATATCGGCCAACCTTGGTTGCATGCCAATGCTACCACTAGTTGAACAGTCTCCATTCTTGCTACTGGAGCAAATAATTCAAAGTAGTCGAGTACTTCTCTTTGAATAAACCCTCGAGCTTCTAATATTGCTTTATGTCTTGCTATCGAGCCATCAACATTATGTTTCAACTTGAATACCCATTTTACTTCGATATCTTTCGTATGTGCTGGAAACTCGACTAACTCCCATGTGTTGTTTATTTCGATTTCCTATAACTCTTCAACCATAACTAACTTCTGTTGTTTAGTCTTCAAAGCTTTAATATAATTGGTTCAACACCTGCAAGTAAAGCAAAATGAACTAATTCTCCATCTGGTGTAACTTCATCATCACCCACCACTTCATAATCATGATGTCTTGTTGGAATAACTCTATTTCTTTGAGGTCTTTGGCTTGTTTCAGCCACAAACTCTTCGACTTCGACTGTGTCGAGAATGTCAGCAAATTCTTCTTCTTTTACTTCGACCAGATTCTCAACAATTCCTTCGACTTCTACTTCATGAATTTCTTCATCGACAGTCGAACTCATCAATGGCTTGTTAATTGAATTTCTAGAATTCCAACCCCAAGCAGAATTTTCATTAATCACAATATCTCGAATCAACACAATCTTTGCATTAACTGGTTTAAATAGTATGTATGCATCATTTTTATGATATCCTACCAGAATCATAGGTTCATTCTTGTCATCAAGCTTCCTTCTTCTTGCATCAGGAACATGCTTGTAACACATAGAGCCAAACACCTTCAAATGACTTACTGATGGTCGTTTGCCACTCCACACTTCTTCAGGAACCTTGTTCTTCAATATCTTAGTAGGACACCTACTCAAAATATGAACTGCAGTCAAAACAGCTTCTCCCCACAAAGACTTTGGCAAATTCTTTTGCTTTAGCATGCATCTCACCATATCTAATATAGTTTTGTTTCTTCTTTCAGCAATTTCATTATGTTGAGGTGTATAAGGAGAAGTTACCTCATGATCAAAACCATATTCTGCACATAAATTTTCAAACATCTTGGATGTGTATTTACCACCTTCATCTGTTCGCAGAACTTTGATCTTCTTCTCACTCTGGTTTTGGACAAGTATCTTGAATCTCTTAAAGATTTTGAATACTTTGTCCTTTCGTTTGATCACATAGATTCACAACTTTCGAATAAACTCATCGACAAATGAAATAAAATATTTGTTTCCACCAATTGTATGTTCTTCGAATGGACCACATACATCTGAATGTACCACTTCTAGTATGCAAGATGATCTCATTGGTATAGTCGACACGAAAGAATTTCTGGATTGCTTTCCTACTAAACAACCTTCACAAAGCTTTTTAGGCATCTCAAGACTTGGAATTCCAGTAACCATATCTTGAGTAATCTGTTAATTAAGTGATCGAAAGTTCAAATGTCTAAACTTCAAATGCCACAACCAACTATCCTTGTGGTTGACAACAATTTTCAAACATTGAACTTCTGTGGAACTGGTCATAGTCTTAAATATTCTGTTCTTCGATAATGGAGATTTTAAGACCAAATTATTCTTGGTGTCAAACAATTTAAAAAATCCATCTTTCATGACAACTGAGAAACCTTTTTCGACTAGTTGTCCAACACTTAGCAAGTAGAACTTCATTCCAGATACATAGAGCACATCTTTAATCATAGCTTTCCCTCTATTACTCATTTGAAAGACTATGTTACCAATACCTTCTGCTTGCAACGAACTATTATCAGCAAGTTTTATCTTGCTCTTCTTCCACTCGTCAAAATCTATCAACCACTCCTTTCAACCAGTCATATGGTTCGAGCAACCTGAGTCGAGAAACCAGATCTTGGATTCGACATGGTTATCTGTAACTGCAGCCATAACCACCATACCAT